CTATTTTTGAATAACGACCACGTGTTTCACTACACGTTGATAACCATCGTAAGTTACTTAAGTACTTTTATGTAGGACACTTAAAACAATCAGCCATTGTACTCCCAATAGAAACAATCACGATCTGTACAATAGTAGAGTTGTATATAAAAACTAAAACTATATTATTGTGTCCACGTCTTATCACTAACTGGAAAAAACTCTTCCTCAGGTGGGCTGTTTCACACGAAGGAGCAAGTAGGAGACATTGACAAACAGTTTGTGTTTCAGGCTAGTTTGGGTGTGGATACATTCTTCTGTATAACGTAAGTTGTTCACAATTAGTTTTATATATATATATATATACAAGAATAAGTATAAAATAAGCGTGCTGTAGTTCTTTTTTTTGTTGTCGTTGACATGACTGTGTTTATTTTAATCTATGTGAAGATTAGACCTTTGTAAATGTAATATACCAAATAATAGAGAATAGCAGTACTTTAGATTTCTAACGGTTAGAAAATGGTATGTTTACATAGGTGTGTATTTTGATAAAGAAGAAACTAAAATAGAAATTACTCACGTTTTCTAGTTTTTGATAAAACATTCCTCGTCGTACAATAAAAATCATTTAGTTATACCAGAGTTACGGTAGAATCTGATGAGTTTGTAGTAGTAGCATCCTAAAGATTGGAGTGTTACATGAACCAGAGTCGAACCTGTTAGACACTGTAGTAATGTACTTAAATACTGGTTGCACGAAGGTTAAATAACATCAACTCTGTAGTAATATTTTCAAGATTTGATTTTACAAGGACTTCAGAACAACCCAATATACTTTGTGGTGGCTTAATTTCAATTCCATGAACAGTAAGAGTCTGATGGACTATGTAATAACATTCTTAACTTTGGTTCTATGAGCAGTATAGAAGTCTGATGGACTCTGTGATAACATTCTTAACTTTGGTTCTATGAGCAGTATAGAAGTCAGATGGACTTTGTAATAATATTCTTAACTTTGGTTCTATGAGCAGTATGGAACAGTCTGATGTACTCTGTAATACCTTCATAACTTTGGTTCTATGAGCAGTATGGAACAGTCTGATGTACTCTGTAATAATATTCTTGACTTTGGTTCTATGAGCAGTATGGAACAGTCTGATGGACTCTGTAATAACATTCTTAACTTCGGTTCTATGAGCAGTTTGAGAGAGTCTGATGGACTCTGTAATACCTTTATAACTTTGGTTCTATGAGCAGTATGGAACAGTCTGATGTACTCTGTAATAATATTCTTGACTTTGGTTCTATGAGCAGTATGGAACAGTCTGATGGACTCTGTGATAATATTATTAAGTTTTGATAATCAAGGATTACACTGCTATCTATTAGAGTATGTTATAATTTTCTCGTTGATTTAAACGATAACTTGTGACATTTCAACTAAGTTGTTTTTAACTTCTAAATTTCGAGTATAATTGAAAACTTCATAACGTTTATTTTCAGTGGGTGTCTTACTATGTACTTTGTGTGGGTGCATAGTGAAGGAAAAATAGGAAATTTCGTCATTTCCAAATTCATTTTTCTCAGGTATTTTAGGTAAGTTACAGAATAACTATTCTCAGTAATTCGCTGAAACAATGAAAATAATAAAAAAATGTAAATCAATCATTGTTGTTGAATTTCGTGTAAACTTTTTTCACTTTCCTGAAGAAAAGCAGAAATTACTTTGGGTCCTGTTGACATCTATAATGCTATCCATATATATATATTTATATCATTGAAAAGTTATCGAGTATGATAAACAGTTAGGTGAATATACTAATAATGGCTGAAGACGCTACCTGATGATGACAAAACCTTGTCGAAACGTTGTACATTTGCTGTTATGTTAAACTTATATTAAAGTTTTTCTTCATTACCCATTCAAGCCGTCTTCAGCCATTATTAGTCCTCAAAGTGGGTTCCTCGTCATCGACACTGTGGGACTATTCACCTATAACTCAGTGATTCAGATTAGCCAATCAGCATTTAGATGCGCAACAGGCTCCCTAACTACTTGCCAGGATGAACAGTCAGTGGTATTATCACACAGATCACTAACTCGAGGAAGCTTTGTGTGATGATAAGGAACTGAGACTGAGGTTTTAAATATTATAACAATACATTTATTAAGATCCATGTTCAATACATTAGTGGGTTACACTTGTTACTCAAATTAATCAATAACCATTACCTTGAAAGAAAGCACTCAATGAGTTATAAACATTTATGGTTTAGTTTTTCAAAAGAAAGATATTTACTTACAAGGAAGAAGAAACTAGGCATGAAGTTCGCGAAGACATGGTTGCAATGCTATGAATGGATGTACTAAGCGGATGGACATAGTTTCTAATTTTTACCCTAGTTTTTATATGATAGGGCTGCTAGGCTTAACTGGAGTACTTCTGTATGAAGCATGGAGACAACAGCTAGGTATTACTAAATAAGTCTAGGTGTCTCGAAACGATTGCATGAGAGTTAGGCCATCATGTTTCTGTCCAAGGGTAACCATAATCATGAGACTTTGCTCATCATGAGCTCATCAGTGTCGTGACCTGAAGCAGTTGGTGTTTGTGTAACAAAACGTTGTGCTAGTAAAATTTTGTATAAGACACGAAATTGCTGAACGCATTTAAGCACTTATTTTGTCTTTGTTACATTTTTAGCTTATTTCTCTATACTCATAGAGCCCTCCTGTGGCTCAGTGATAAGTCCGATAACTTATATTGCTAAAAATCAGGTTTCGATACCCGTGTGATAGGCACAGTACAGATAGCCCATTGAGTAGCTTGGTGCTTAACAACAGACAAACAATAGCTCAGTATTATTCATGACTTGCAGAGCTAGAGCTGTTTTTTCAACCAATGATATTTTTCATTAGTAACCCAAATTTGTATTCACAAAAAACGTTTCCAATTTCCTTCTAATCTGCTGGTAAAGCCAAGAAAGCTTTATCAAGTAATCCAGTTTTCTGATACTTCTTTCGTCCGTTTTATCCAAGTTCTAAAACATGTTCCAATAATGATCAACTCGTTTCCAAATTACATTATATGTTTCATTTCTCTCTGCAAACCAATTTTCTTTTATATTACTATCCAAAGAATATTGGGTCCATTATCCTCTTACACCACAGTTTCTCTGTCACTAAGAAACACGTGTCTTAGCTTAGTTGCCAATGCCTTTGCAAAAATTTTGCTAATTGTTTGTGCCTTAAACAATTGGTGAAAATGATGCAGTTCTTGTAGAGCAGGATTTCCTAATGGAAGTTTTTTCTCCAACTTCAGAAAGAAGGCAACAGCAGCGTAAAATAAGCATGCATAAAAATGATTTTTTTTAATTATCAAATTTCGTGATCAACTGATAGGTTTTAATGTCCATTTCGAAAGCAGCTGTTTTAAGATGTAGCTTTTATCCGAAATTTCAACATGCATTTCCTGAATACAACATGTACAAGTAAAGAAAACATTTTTGAAAACAGGAAGAAAATGTAGGTAAGGTTAATATCAATCCTTCAAAAACAATACAAATAAGATAGTAGGGATACCATTTGCATCATCCCTAATAATAGCACATGCACACAATGTAGTAGAATGTTAACAGAAAAAACAATCTAACATATTCTCCTTGTTTTATCCACAGATGGTCCTCACTGGACGTAGAAAATGACTTAGAACCATCTGTGTCGTGCAGACTTCTCACTTTGATTCCAGTATATGTATATCTACTTGAGCAGTACATTGGACTGAATAAAGTTTTCCTTATCTATCATAATATCACTCATAAGTGATGAGGTGATGATATTAAGTAATTTCCATGCTTCTGCAACACTAGGGAATGTTGTATTGAAATAACGAGTTCTCACACAGTCTTAAGTATCTGATCAATATCATATCTGCACACCAAGTTACTTCTTAACTTGGTGGTGGTTTCGTCAATTGGGAGAGAAAAATGCTCTACTTTGATTTTTCTCATACAATCTTTTTTCTTGCAGTGTGGCCCAAGAGCATGAGTGATAAGATGTGAGGCTTTAGCACAAGAACATCTTTTGTAATACCCGAGTCACGAAATGTGTTCATGAAAATATTACCATTTCGCCACAAGAAAAATTAACATACTGTCTGTAAACTACAATGTATAGGAATGAGATTTGTTTCCCTAAAGATCCTCTGCTATCAACAATGAAAATGTCCTGTAGATATCGCAGTCCTAGTTAGATTTCTTCTGTGAGTTTGCATGTTTCAAGACCTCTCTCAGACCTCTACTATTACATGAAAAGTGTTTTTACTCACCGCACAGAATGTTTCATTGTCACTCAGCCCCCCCCCCCCTCCTTCATTTTGCTCATTCTGAGAATTTCGGTATTTTCTCTTCAGTTTCATTAAACCATTGTTATGAGATATTAGTTTCCGCTTAGTGATCTTTTCTATTCATGCAGCACATTTGGCAGCTATATCAAAATGTAGATTTGATCTAAAGGAAAATACTGTTACACATCTCACAGAAGGACTATTGTCTTCATATGGACTTTTTCTTTCTACACTCAGCGCATACACGTCCTTATTGAAATGTATTATAATTAGTCTGTATAAAACAAAGAAATAAGAAACCAGAAAGGCCAAATGTGTGAGATTGTTGTTACCAGATATTCACAAGTTGTATATCATGAAATATTCATCAATTTCAATAGCCTTATAATGCAGGAGGGTCTTGAAATTACACGAACTTATATACGATAACAGAAATGCAGGAAACATAGAAGAGACGGAGACATCTGCTTTTGTGCAATATGATGTGTCTTTTCTGGTTACATATGAAAATAAAAACGTTTCTGATTACTGCAATTTAGATCCAATATATTACTGTTAATTTTCTCCAGAGTAAAGTTATTTTGGTCGGAGTAAAACGTTTAATGGCTGTGATTATAATGTTATTAATAAGATTTGTCATAGAAAGAAATTTTATGTTTCATACAAAGTTGATGGGAATTTGCATACGAAAGTAAAGGCGTAAAAAATCATTAGTAATGCATATCATGTTGTTTTCAGAAAGCGATGCCTATTTCCCACAGAAAAATCCATTGGTTTAATATGCCCAGATATCTCCTGTTCATTTACGAACTTTTTAAAAATCTGTTGAGTCAGAAGATTCAAGAACGGGTAGGTTTATGTTCATATGCAGGACTTCTTTTATGTTCATATGCAGGACTTCTTTTTTGTTCATATGCAGGACTTCTTTTTTTTAATCGGTGTTTATTTTTAGCTATTTTATAATTTTATTTTAATACCTTAAATTCGTCGTTTTCGGAATTTTTATTTTTAGTCTTATGTAGTTACATTAAAATCGGTGTTTTTCAGAGTTTTAGCTTCTAATACTGTAATGAGTATACTAATATATCGTATATCCTATTGACACTAATTTTTCTTATGGAAGTGATAAAAGGTGCAAAACATAGTTTTATTTATGTTAAAGATTTGTATGAGTAGCTAATATTATATATGAAATTATAAAGACAAACTTACACCTAACGGACGAAACGTATTCCTTTTACTTTAGAGTATAACTAGAGTATAAAAGGAAATGTAGTCATAAAAATGTAGTCATAAAAGCTGAATAACCATTTCCGATGTTTATTGGAAAAACGCCAAATTGATTTTTTGTTTCTTTGTATCAGAAGTATTTTATCGGTGAGTTCACGCAAGTGCTTGTTTAAATTTGTGCACGGTTGCACATTATGCTGATAAAATATTAAATTCACAAACTACGATTTATGAGAATGATAAAAATTATCTTATGTAGAGAACATACTGCATGTTTATACAGAAAATGTAGTTTGTTCTCAACATAAAATATTTTCATTATTCTTATAAATCGTTCTTTGTAAATTTAATATCATATGTGTAGGCTTCAAATAAAATCGGCGCAGATAGCCCCGTAGCTTTGCGCCAGTAAGCCTCAAACAACAACAACATCAAATAAAATCATTGTTATTATACTTATATCAGATTTGATAAGACCTGAATACATAACCCACAATGTCAGCCTAGTGAAAGGTTGAAACATCTAAGTTAAATATTTTCAAAACAGTAATTGAATTGCACATTATATTTTTATTACTTACCTTGAAAATATAAATGAGGTAAAAATGTTTGTCTATTCATCTGTATAAACGTAACTCGTTAAGCATTCAAATAAATCACAAGTGGCTGTTATCAGTTTGTGCAAAAAACATGACATCGTAAATTACGTTAATATCCAGGTTTATGGTGGCAATGTTGTTAAATTCACAGTTAATTACAAATGTACAAAAGGAGAACTGATAAGTATTATGATGTAACTTATAAATGACTTATAAGTTGCATTACGTACGAGGACCACCTCGCGCCCTTTTTTTAAAGTAACATTATCAAAAATCATAATAAAAGTTCCGACAATTTTATCTGGCCCAGAATACGACATTCTAGGAAGACAATCTTTTGATTCTATTTTAACTAACCTTTATCTGTTGTAAGATGCTAACGACAAGATCTTTTGACCAGAGATAACCAGATCAGTTAGGTCACAACACCCAAAGTTTAAGTCCAAAAACTGCTTTTAGCTATCTGCGTCATTTCGTTCATAGACAAACATGTTTTGACTTTTAGGGTTAGAAAATATAAATCATTCTGAATTGGAACTGCTAAATTAATTATTAGTATACTTGTTAAGACTGTTAATTAGTGGGCATGTATGAACGTATGACGCCTTTTTTTTTTCTTCTCCAGATGGTTGTTCACTGGAACCTCGAGAGCCTTCATTCTCACTTTCCTCGTAAGATCTTACCAAAGGAATACGGTGGAGAACACTCGGTGAAAGAACTTGCAGGTAGTCGATTTTCTTTTTCATATGATAGCTGTGAAAATCTTGACCAATTATTCTGCGTCTTATTGTTTAAGATAAAGCATCACAATCATAATTTATCATCTTAGTGTTAAGTAACGTGAAGATCAAGTCACTCTGAGACTTAGGCTATTTTTGAGAAGACAAGATTTTCCTGCATCCTAAATCATAGGTTGTTAGTGATTAGCAGTATAATACCCGTTCAGGTGATGGAACAAGATTGGAACTTCATATGGTTTGTACCTGAAATTATCTACCCGAAAATACTAAAACTTTCGCAACTTTATTTAATCAACTCTTAGCCCTTGACAACCACAGTTGGACTCTTGACTTGACCGGTTAAAGAACTGTAAAGACCAGTCTTAGAAACTATTTTCAACTACTAACAAATTCACACAGACTATTTTGGAGAACCGTGTTTGAATTTTATGCATACCTATAAACATGCAACATAAGATTATATATATATAAGCCTAGATTTGATTATTTACAGGCTAAGGTTAACGATTTACAGATCTCTAACGCTTTTTTGAGAACAATATTTGACTTTTTTAGATATTCCATGAGTTTCTGATAACAAAGGTCTTCAATATGATTGTTTTCAACAAGTATAATAAAAACCATATGTTTAAAATGTGTCTAGTGCAATACCGTTTATTAAAATAAATCAACCATTGCAACAAAACCCACCAAATTAATATATGCTTATTACGACACTGTTGATAACATGGATCGTTGTTGTTGATCATCACATTAAGCCCACCTAGTTATTCCATCACTTTTTATTGACTTTCAAAATTGTTCATAATTAGTAAAATAAAATTCACCTAATATTATAACGCATTACTTAGAAAACATTTTTTTTCCAGTGACAAACGGCATAAAACTAGTGTCTACAACACTCAGCTTTTATCATCTTCGTGTTTGAGTTGTATATATATAAATCAGAAATTTCTCACATGTAGTGCTCTTCTTTAGGTCGTTGGGTGGAGACATTACGACAAAAGAGGGAGCACCTGCTATCCTTAGACAAAATGCAGTATGATGAAAGCAAGAAGCCTACTCAGACAACCGATGACGATGGATCTTATGGTATAATGAAATTTATGGGTAGATTAGCACGACTGGATATCTTATGAGAACTTGTCTGTCATAATGGTTTATAAAAAAATGATATGCTATACGTTCTTGTAACATGAGCTGTATACCAACTTTTAACAACCGGTCACATGGCAAATTTATTATATATTGAGACACATGAATTATAAATAATCTCGTAAATTTAATTGCCAATATTGCACCGCTTCTATAGATATCTTTAATATTGTGCTTATTCGCTAATCATTATATATTATAGTGCCAGTTTGCCAACAATTGAATTATATCACACTATAGCATATGCGAGGACAAGAGTAAAGTGTGAATATTTTTTTCATTTATAATTAGCCCACTTTTTCTGAATTTCAGCTCAATCTTAAAATATATTGATGTTGCAGTAAAATAAGTAATTAATCATACGAAAACCGTCATAAACATCATTCGTATTCTTCCTATTCTCGTTGACTGAAACATAAGTCTACAAAAAAAATATGCTTCTTACTATGATTATCTTGTTTCGATTCTTGCGTGTAACTGAGTACAAGTACATTACTCTAAGTTTGCTGAAATAAAACACGATGTTTAAACAGATTTAGTTTATTTCATTATTCAAATACTTTTAAGCTTTGAAATCCGAATATGAGAATCAGATCGACTTACCGAGATGTGTTATCGCAAATACTACGTAGTTTGAAAGAACAAATATTACAGTTAAAACTGTACCGTGTATTTTGATTAACATACTTTAATTTTGAACTTACATGCAGTATTACAAGAACTTTTTAATGTTATTTAATGATCCATTTTTATTTGCTTATATTGCTTTATATGTTTATCTTTTTATGATTAATACAGCAACAGCTAAACGGTTACAAAAACGTTTCTATAGCATAAAATTTTAAAGTAATTCAGTATGAGATGGTTGCTTAAGTTTAAAATTAAGAACAAAATTGGTCGTAAAGTTTTAATAATAATATTGATATTTGCGGAATCTGCATCATTAAATGGTACATCATGCAGAATTATGATGAAGATGTATTACTCTGTACTGCAGTGATGTAAACTGTATAAACTAGCGAAGAATGAAACTTTCTAAACCTAAGAAGAATGATGAAATCACGCTTCACTGCAGACGTGTGCTTTTTTTTCTTATTCCTAGTTACATTGTTCATATTGTTTGGTATAGAGTGAAAGCAGTTCAACGACAGTGGCTTGTGGTAGACGAAATATAAATTTGAAATGTTATTTTTACGCGTCTTATAGTTGCAATTTACGACGTACTATAAAAGAGAAGTGTGAGAAAAAACGTCTGCAGTCATGCGTGACTTTAATCCCACTTGTTTAACGTAAAACGTTTCATGGTTTTATTAGTTTAAACATTCTTCAACAATGCAATATAAATTTTGTACTGCCCTAAAACAGACTTTGAGATATATTTTTGGCAGTGGTGATAAGTTTTGGTATTTGAATGAAAGGTCGGCCTCCTTTCTCTCTCTTTATACGTGTGATATTTTAAAGTTCGACAATACTATTATAATGTGAAATTGTGCTAAATATCTTAGAAATTGTGAATAATAAATCCTCTAATGTGAAAATCTATGGTGTAATTATAATACTACATTTTCTCCAAATTACAAGAGAATGCATTACAATATCACTAATTCTTATCTCTACTTGGAGAAGTTTTCACTTTACAGCATACATTATTACCAATTGAACTGAAATGTTTGTTCTCTCCCCCCCCCCCAAGGGATAAAACTATTTAACTGTACTAAATTCATTAAATAAAAATGTTCCAAAATTCAAAACGGGGATTTAATCGCTAATACATATTTAAATAACTAAAACCTGAAATTATATTTCAGTTATTTTGCCATGCCATATGCCATTGTACCAAAAATAATACTATTATAATACAAAAAAACAGACTTGTAAACCTTATAACTAAGTAAACCAAAAAGATTACATTTACCTTGAGTAATCAAAAGCTTTAAAATAAAAACAAAAGCTGTTTCCATTTTATT